AACTTATGAGATTGCTAAAATCTCTTAAGGTCTGGTCAACTACAGTGCTGCTAAAAGTTTTTAAAAGTTTTTTAAAAGCCTTTAAACATGCATAGTACAAGTCACATGCAAATTACTGTCATCTCTGAGTAGACCAATTTATCCCAAAAAAAAAAAGGAAAATATGGTGAGTCACTGATTCAGAGTTTGCCTCTGGCACCAAAACATCCAGGACTGCCACTGACTGTATCTTCTTGCTCATTTCGTGGGTCATAACATAATCAAGGCACTTTGTATAAAGATATAACATCAATTTAGCCAAATAAACAGCAACTGATAAAACGCAGGGTTTATGTCTCTGATTGCCATCTTTGTTTGGATCAGAAAATAGAAATGCAACTTGGAAAATGAGTTTTTACCGTGCAGTGGATGAAGTATTTTTTCACAGACAAGTCTTTGAGGGTTATGGAAATACCCTTAGAACAGCCCTGTTTAGCTTAAAAGTCTGGTTCAAATAACTTTATTATTTCGGTTTATATTACACATACATGGCACTTGTGGTGCACTGACACCGATGGGCCCTCTGACCCTGCCTGCAGCTAACCCCCACCTTAAATTCTGATATGCTGCAAGGATGACAGAAGCCATATTTTCCAAGTATAACATTAATTTCAACAAAGTTTTTAAACAGATAAATAGCTCATCAACATAGTCTGAATTCATGCATACAGCAGATATTCATCTCAGTCAGCAGAAATAGAAAAAATAGAGCTCTGTCTGAGGTTTCTGCAGCTAAACAGTGTTTGATTTCATGCCCTGCTGCAGGAGGATTACAGACATCAGTGTTGCTCCTGTGAAAGCATTCAGTGTTAACATCCCCCACAGGGACAGTTTACTCTCACACCGGCAACTGAAGTGGCTGCTTCCTTGTCCAGCCAACATGACATCACTTTTTAGAAAACTGCGAAGTTCTCGGCTGTGCCTTGAACTTGCAGAACAAAGAGGTTTAAGGAGAGTTTACTTTAAATCAAAATATGAAACAGAAATATCTAAAACATCTCTCTAGGACAATGAAAACAAAAGCACCTGAAAGACAGCAGATGGCTACAGCAACTGTCTTTTAAGGTCAGTGTGGACGAAAACACTCTTCGTTCCAGAACCTGATACTGACAAGTTATTTTTCATGAAAATACCTTTCTGCTGAGCAGCATGTAACTAGAGCGCTTGTGCCAAAACCCCATGGTTTTGCATCGAAGCTAATCTCTGACAAATTCCAAAGCAGCTTAAATGAGGAAATTGGCCCCTTTATTACATCGATAAACATCAGCTCACTGCTCATTTGGAGAAAAACAGAGAGGGCAGCACGAGAACTGAGCCGCAGAAGAGTTGTGCTCGGTCAGGTTCAGACGGGTCTTACATATTTCCGAAGGAAAAATAGATCCCCTCTCTGAGAGCAGCGAAAGGGGGGAGATGCTGCAACATGTTGCTACTACATAGTTTCATCCACCTGATTACTCTGGGCACTACTCGTGGAATAACGTGTGTAAAATAAATGAGTAAGTGACTGTATTAAAGTGAACAGAGGGCAAAACAAATGAAGGTTTGACCTTTTCTTTCTGTTGAAGGAGGGTAGTCTGACTCTTTGGGAGAGCTGGGGATGATATTTTATTTATGTATCTATTTTCTGCACAGATTTATATATCCAGGGATCAAGCCAAAATATTTTAAGTCCATCAGCACCCACTGTGCGACTGTCTGTGCCCAATTCATTCAATCATTCAGTGACAGTAAAAACTGTTTATTAGGGCTGTCAGCCTTAATGTGTTAATCACGATGCCATTACGGCCCAAATATAAAGCGTAATTTCTTTTTAATTGTGCTAATTGCACGCTCTTATTTTGTCCTTTGACACACCCTTACTCATAGTCAACCCGCAGCAGCAGCAGCTTCCTGCTTCCTGCTGCCACAGTGACGGAAAATAAAGCCAACACTGTGCTTCTGAAAGGCTCATTTCACTTTAAAAAACTCCCAGACGCTCAGTTGTCAAGTCAAAAGTAATATGCACCTTGTGTCAAATGAAATTAAAATATCCCCGAAGTACTGTGAGTCTGAGCTACCACCTACGAGCTAAGCATAAAGGTGCAGCTAACCAGACTGACCAGCAGGCAACTTCATCACTTAAGTCGCAAAGCCCTACTTTGGAGTGTGTTTATTGCCACAGACGTGATGATGAAAATAAATCAAGGAAGTTAACTACAGCGCTTGCTAAATGGATTGCAACTGACTGCAGACCAGTCAACATCATGGAAGATGAAGACAAAGGTATAGAAGCACTGCTGGATCTTAGAACTCACATACAGGTGCTCTTTGGATACTTCAGCTGTACTATGTTTATTCCATCCTTGTCTGCAAGTCTCACTCAAAAACAATCCAAGGCACACTGTAGGTTTGCGCAAGAATTAAAGGGCCAGTGTGTAATATCTGGCATGGTTTATTGTCAATCTGAATCTGAATCTGAATATTCTACCCATTAATATGTTTATACAAGTGTATAATCGCTATAAAATAAAATTCGTTTGGAGGTCGCCATCTTGCGCCGCCATGTATGTAAGGCAGCCCGAGCGGACAATCCAGCCAGCCAGAGAAGCATTTCGCGTGTATAAATGAACCAACAAAGACAGCGGAAGGAAGGAAGAAGGAGGAGGAAACAGCAGAGTGTTAGTAGTTCATCGATAGAGAGTAGTGAAAAGTTTTTTTAGTTATAAAGTTTGCGAATGGACCACACTTACCACACAACAGGAAAGAATGAACCCGAACCATCATCTGAGAGGAAAAGAAGAAGAAACTTCACTCCTTGTGATGCACTCTCTGCAGCGCTTTTCCTCCTGATGATATATCTCCCCAACAATGGCAGCAGTAGCACCGAATCCCATTCTGTGCATTCAGCCTCTCTTCTCGCCCACTCAGCATCAAACACATGGAGTTCCTCATCTGTATGCTCCGGCTCAAACAGGTATGGCTCTGGGTCTGCTACAAGAAACTCTTCAAAATCGCGTTCAAAGTCGTCCATTGCAGCTACTATAGTCCGGAGATATTGCTAGGCTAAATAAACAGATGAGCTCTGTTTACCGGCTACGCTGTCAGTCAGTGTGCGGGCTGGAGATTGGTGGAGCAGAGAGGGGAGGGGTCCCCACTCGGTATGGTAAACGAGTACGTGTGTATGGTGTGTGTGTGTGTGTGTGTGTGTGTTACGCTAGAAGAGTCAGAGTTTGAGACGGAGTCTTTAACCCCCTGGAGTGTTACCGGAGTTTCTGGAGTGCTCAAATAAACGGGCCTTTTTCCCAAATGCTCCTCCGGTCTCCTGCTCGTGAGGGATTCATTACAATATCGTAACATGGCTTAGATTTCTAAATAAATATTCACCTCGTCGCTAGATAGACCTACTCCTGAAAAACTCGTGCGCAAGGCTTTTTGTCCCTACAAGGCCACCGTCATTTACCCAACGGGAGGGGTGAGCGAGTGAGCCCTGCAATCTAAAATTTGACCACTGATGTCACTGTTTTCAACCCATTTTACACACTGGCCCTTTAAAAGGCCTTTATTTTACATGGCAACATAGATTAAAAAGACCAACACGTTGCAACTCACAGGTCTTCACCATGGTCATAGTTACACTGTGTAAGCTACGTCAGGTGAACTGGCGCTGTGTGATGCGAAAACAATCGCAGCAAATAACAGGGGACCTTAGCCGTGGATCTGCCTGCTGCTTTTAAAAGTCATCGATGAAGACAAGCCGTCATCAGTTAAAGACACACCTTCAAGTGGGTAGCCATGTTTTAATGGAGATGCGAATCCCTGCCGCAGCAGGCTGATGGCCCAAATCAAACCAAGCCAAGCCGAGCCAGCCTTGACTGTCGAAAAGAGTTAATAGCCCAAGCTAGTGCAGCCTACAGTAGGTAGGTGAATGGCCTGCATCTTGATATGGAAACTGCACTTATAATTAGGACACAAACAGTGCTGTACATCAAATTCACAATAAAAGTGCTTCTCCTGACGCACTGAGTCAAACCAAGTCAAGCCAAGCCAGCACACGTGTATGGAAAAGCAGCATATACAACCTTTAAGGTACTGGGTGGAGAATAATACAGTTTCTTTCTAAGGGAGGGTCTAAAGAAAATATTAATAATGTGAGGGAGAGTCTTGTTCGATTTAAGAGTGAAATGTAAATTTTAGCCCCCCAGCCCATCCTAATTACTTTTGTACAGGCCTTAAAGTTATGCCAAACTGCAGTATAAGGCCTGAGGAGTCATATTTCCAAGATAAAATCCAACACAGTCTGTGTGCAGCCATGTAGGTTACATGTAGGCACTTTTTATATTATCTGTAGATGTTTAAGGGATTTGTGCAAAATAAGTAGCACAGTTTTACTTGACCTTAGAGAGCTGCCAATGTAACAAGATCCAGCCATCTGCAAGACCAGCATCAGCAGTGTTTATGCAGGGGTAATGGAGCTGCAATTTCCATGCTAACACCACTAAATAAACACATGCCACAGATAAGAGGGGTAGCCGCCTGCAGGAGACTGCAGCTCCACGACTGAGCTACTGAAAGCAAAACTGGTTTTATGAACTTTTCTCATACCAGATTTTTTACACATATGGAGCAGTGCATTCCCCTCTCATGTATCTGACTATCAAAGCATGGTCTGATAGCCTATGTTTAGTGGAATACATAATTTGCAACAGGCTCGATGTAACTTCTGTCGTGCTGTGAACAGTCCCTGCAGAGTCACTGTGGATTTTCAAATCAGTTTCAGTCCACTTTTACAATAACAGAGTGAGCAGGAACTTTTCTAAGCAGGTATGCAACTCTCTGCACAACACACACACTACAAACACCCTTCAGAAAACTTCCACCAAACTTGCAGTCTGTGTGAATAAACACTTCCCGTCATTCCCGCTGGTTAGACCCAGACATGATGTCCAGAGTGAATTAGTCCAGCGCTGCACAAACACACTCACCTTAAAGTCTCCTTCACCACTGAATCAGTGTATCAGTCCGGTTATGCTCCATGGAGGAAACTCGTGTCCACTGCGTCGCTTTGTTGCAGTTGTTTGGACACCGAGAAGCCTCACTGTCCCCGGACTCGGTGGGTTACATGGTTTAAATGTCTGACAGAGGCAGAGACACCGGGTTTGGATCACAGCACCGAGGTGAGACTGACAGACCCGGAGGAGGAGAGCTGCGGTAATATGACGCCTCCTCCTGATTGGCTGAGGAACAAATGCTGACTTTTACCCACACTTTTTAATTTGTCATGAAATGTTGACATTATTTTATTAAACAGATCCCATCCAAAGTCACTTTATATAGTTTTCACTGTTCATAAAAAACATGATATTAAGATGCTTACACAAGCCTCACAGTGTTGCCACATCAAAAACATGAGCAAGTATTACTGGAAATTTGATGAAAGGCCAACTATAGAAATATGACATAAATACACTTTAAGATTAAATATATAAATATTATTATAGATAAATTTTAAATAAGTATTAAAGGTCTAGTGTGGAGGCTTTAGTGACATCCAGTGGTGAGTTTGCAAACTGCAACCAGACTGCTTATAAAGATGGACAACGTAGATTTTGATAATAGATATAAGTCTATTATCTGATGGGAAGGGCCTATTGTTCGTGTACAGGGAATTCTTATCTATGTATAATTTTTCAGTAACCCCTAAAGAATTTGGGGGCAACAGGCACTGTAATGCTTCTTAGAAATGTTATTAGACCTACACCCAGATCTGTACCTTTCTTCAATGCAGTTGACTCCCCAGTAGGAAAAATTTGTTTCTCGCCATGCACCCCAAAATAATAATAATAGAGCTATACATGCCCTATTTCCTATGTCTCTATTCCATATGTCATGACATATTGGAATCAGTTTGTAAATGATACATATTGGAAGAAGGTTCGGATGCTTCCTTATTACCCTGCCAATCACTATATGCAGAAATACAAAAAATGACATTGACACAAACTGCTCTTTCTGTAATGACCAGTCAGAAACTGTTATACACCTTTTCTGGCACTGTTCTCACATCAAGGAATTCTGGAAGGACTTTTGCAGGTTTATCTTGGACCATATCTCTGAAGACTTTACATTATTGTGTGAAAAAAATGTGGTGTTTGGTTTCCTCAAGTCCCCAAAAAATGAAGACAGATCTCTTTTATAATTAACGTCGTCATGATTCTGGCAAAAAAAAAAAAAAAATCCACAAATGTAAGTTTAGTAATAATAAATTTCATGTTGGTGTTTTCCTGCAGAATGTTGAACATTATATGAAAAAGGCTGTTAGGACACTTGACATCTGTAGGTCTTATAATATCTTTGTGTCATATGGCATCCCCCTGGCTTTCTGTTATTGTTGAGTTTGAATACTCTCAACTGTGTACTGAGTCCTTTTTACAGTGTTGTTTAAATAAACAATGATTCTAAATGTAATAATGATAATAATAACAACTAGATACCGGATGCCAACCTGATCACAGTTTATGGTTGAAATGTGTTCATTTATGATTAATAATGTAGTTAGTAGTAGTTTAATATGGCAACAAATTTGACCACTTTTAGCAACAGTGAAGCGCTAAGACACTTTTAATTAGGAAGTACTTGTGTGAGAACATTGGGACTTTATTATTGACTCGTTTGAGGACATTGGGACTTTATTATTGACTTGTTTGAGGACATTGGGACTTTTCTATCGTCCTGTTTGAGGACACTGAGATTAAGTTAAGTTTTTTATACTTATTGGGTTCTACTGATCCCAAATAGCTAGAAGAAATTAAAAATGTATACCAAACAAAAGTTTGGGTCTCAGGAGGATATACTGGAAACAAATAATAAGAAGTGTGTAGATAACAAGGTTTTGTCAGTCTCTCCTAAAATGTAATGAAAAATATGCTGAGTACACTGTATGCGCCACTTTATTCAGGGTTCTCGCAGATCCTTAAAAAGTCTTAAAGGCATTGAATCAATCAATCTAAAAATTAAGCCTTAACTGGTGTTAAAATGTCTTAAATTAATCTTGCCTGACATGGAAAGTAGGATTTTAGTATTACAGATGAGGCTCTGTGTATTTTATGCCAGAAGTTTCTCAAACTTGGCACGATGGGAACCAAGGCAGTGGAGTTTCACATGCAGAATGAGAAACACAAAACTGCTGAAAGAAAACTCGCCAACAAGCGTCAGTATTTATGTGAAACCCTCGTCTCTGCCACAAGATAAAAAATGTCACATTTTACGTTGCAATAAACATCTGGGAAAAATTGTCTCTAACCCTGAGAAACTGATGTCTGTTCTTTTTTTTTTTCTTTAAATTTAGTTACCGTGGTCTTACATTTCATTCCAAGTGGCAATAAAAGGTCGTAAATCTAACTTTACTTTGTGGAAACCCTTTTATTGTGATGATAACTTGCTGTCCAAAAAAAAGGAAGTCAATGATGAAGCCATCAGTTCAGCGAGCAGCTCATAAAGACATGGGAAAGTGATTTGTGAATGTAAATCAGTTTATTGCAAGAAGACCACTGGGAACAAGGCCAACATCTTCGTCTCTCTCTCCGGCTCTGAGCTCTGCCCAGAGGTCCTCATCAACAAAAATGAGGATTTACAAACAACTGGAAAGACATGAGCATAAAACGACATTAATTAGCTGAAAACTAACTGTTGTAGGCCTACATTCTAAATACAGTATATACCTCAAATATAACTGCTCATCAGAAGTTATTCCAACATCTGTGTTTCTAATAGCATATCCCTCTGATATGTACAGCATAATCAAGACAGTGCCTTTTGATCTTGGAAATGCATTAAAATTACACACAAAATAATCTGAATTATGAGAGAGGCATGCAAACCGACCAGTATTTATCTCTATGTAGCCTACCTGAAAATATACCCAGACCACTTCCTACTGAGTGTAAAGTAACAGCCATCTGTGAAGATGTAACACAGCCCTACAGCACTCTCTTGTGGCTGCAGGAGGAACACCTACAGAGGACAGCTTTTTAATTAATCAGCAACTCTATTAACATGAGGGTCCTCAGTGAGAATCCTTCAAGGTAAAAATAAAATACATATCTTCCACATTTTGTTTGAACACATGCTGAAACAGAGTGGCAATACTGTTGACATAAATGGAGTTTTGTTGGCTCAAAGACAAGCAGGAGGATGGCCACGAGCGTTGGTTTTGAAGCCTCAAATACAAGGGATGGCACAAGAGTTAAAGCACTGTGTTAAAGAAACAATATGTTGTGAAAGTTCAAAGGGTTGTGTGCCATCAGTACGCACTTCCTCTTTATCTGAAAGTGAATCTAGCACATCCATGAGTCATCACCAGCTCAACACACAAGGGGGTTAGCAACTTCTTCTACCCGTGTTAGGACCAGAGACAAAGGCTTTATTTACACCTGGTATTGACATGTGTCTTGGGTGATCAGATCAGAGTAGAAAGCTCTAAGTACAGGTGTAAATGCACCCAATGAGTCCTCCATGTCTTGAGATCCGATCGCTAAGACCACATTCGGAGGTGGTCTGGGCCATGTATGGCCACATTCGTTCAGCAGGGTGTAGGCTAATGTGTTCTGGGCCACACTGAAGGACCGCCTACTCAGCTGCCGTCTTGTGCGTAGGTGGAAGAAGGAATTTGTTTGTGGGAAAAGGCTGGGCACACTCTTTAACCCCATGGGAGCATTGGCATATGACACATGTGCAATGTAAATGGAGCTGCGATGTTGGAGAGTTACAGCAGGCGGCACTAGAAATAAAGTAACAGTGTCCACTCAGGTGTTTTTCGGGTGCGCTGTTTTTGGCAACCTTGGGTGCGCTCGGCCTGACAGAACTTTTGAGAACACTCAATTGGATGGCAGCAGATATACAATACAATGTTTGCATATGCAAGCATTTGTTTATGGTCTTCTATTACCAACTTTTTCAATAATTAAAGGATATAATTCTCACCTGTATCTTTATTTTTCATACAAAAATATTCTGACTTAAGGCCGACTGCTCCTAAGGCTGCCCCCTTGTTCTATGACAGATCGCCAGCTGTTGAGCCTTTCATCAAGTGCAGACTAGATTTCCATGCGCATGTATTATACCCTACTGGTATGATGTAATATGAGGCCGTGACTTCTCCTCTTTTTAAAATCCTTGGAAGAACCCACAACAATTAAAGAAGAAGAAAAAGAAGAAGAAACTACAACAGACAAATTGATTCTTGTAGACAGAGTCTGATTTCCATTTGGGCCAAAGAGTACAATGGAAACTGGACGATCCACATCGCAACTGGGTAATTTATGGTGAGACACCCCAGGTGAAAAAGCAGTTTCTCATGCACTGGTCAATTTTTAAATTTTGGGCTATTTTGCTTCTGTAAAGTCTTCTTTTACACAAGTGGAAAGAAAACTTCCTAAATACACATTTAGGTTTTTATTTTAGTTCAGATTTCTGAGCAAAAAGCACATATTTAATTAGATAATATGTTGAATATTTAAACATTAAATTTCATAAAACTTTTAGTACATAAAATAATTCTCCTAATTTAAGTAATAAAATGGGAAATTTCATGGCGGAAATGACAATGTATGGAATTTTCCACTCTTCTACAATATCCCATTCTGAGTATGAGTTAATGAGTGAGACAAGGGCCATGGATAAGGGATAAAGAGGGTTAAGGAAGTCCTGTATCTAGACTTACTTTGTCTTTTTTTTTTCATTTTATTTAATTTTAATTCCCCTTTATTTACATTATTCACATTTGATACTCCGATGTCTTGCCTTGTTTACATGTTCATGTTTTTCTGCATCTGTGAACTTTTTTTTTTCAAGACTGTTTTCTGTAAAATGAAAAGAGCGCTGACACTGCAAAATTATATATGTAATTTCATCTTTGGCTAAATAAAATACTAGGGAAAATGTATGGAATTTTGCAATACATATTTTTAAAGGTCGTTTTTTTCCTCTCACTGAGCCAAAAATCTCGACTTCAGTCCCACCTACATTCACCAGACTTTTCAGTTTTATTCCTATCTATATTCTGAAGGTTTTATAGAGGGATTTTTTTTTAAATATATCATTCATACCCTGATTTATGGAACATTTTATTCCTACAAACATGGCAAAAAAAAAAATTATGGCTGCTGATG